AAAGAGCCAAGGTTGCCTAATCCTGGTTTAGCCTATCACGATCTGTGTTGCCAGTTAGTGGGAAGCTAGTGACTTTCTGCCCTATATTGATAAATTAACTTCAAAGCCAACGGATGCAATATCTCAGGCATTTGAACATTCAGGTTTGAAACATGTAAAGTTGCATTTGTTCTGTATACGATCCTCTACAGCTGCACCCCTGTGATTTCCTTTGCAGATTACTCTGACTTCGAGGATAGCTCTCTTGACTACTTCGATAGGTGCTCCTCCCCCTTCACTCGGTCTTCTGGCAGCTCGCTGACGCTCCGCAGCACAACAACCGAGAAGAGCACGTCCTATCAGTACCCGAGGGCTATTTTATCTGTCGATCTCAGCGGTGAAAGTAGGTCTGCTTTATACTCTGTGATACTCTTTAAAACTGACATTCCATTTTCCTGTTAATTTAATCCAGGGGTCTTTCAAACTTGGCCCTTTTGTGACTTGTGGACTTCAACTCCCAGAATTCCTCAGCCAGCGTGCCACGCTGGCTGAGGAATTCTGGGAGTTGAGGTCCACAAGTCATAAAAGGGCCAAGTTTGAAAGACCCCTGATTTAACCCATTTGCAGAAAACACTTCCAAGGTTCATCATGCGTCACGTAGACTTCAGTAATCCAAACGAACGTAGCGTGGCATGACTTCTGCAAGGTTTCCATGTCCCTAATTATTGTGAATAGATTTCCCCTTCTTTAATATTCGTTTCTGGTTATTTCTCTGCTTCAGCTTAAAAAGTTTCTGAAAGAACAGTGCCCTAAATAACTTTAGGTGTTTTTGTTAATATAGTATTCGCCATGCGGAGAAGTATCCAAATAAATCTTATCTATTTTGGGATATAAGAAATAAACTATTTATTTTGAAGTCTCATGTTAGGACACAGAACATGGAATATAACAGAGTTGGAAGGGACCTTGGAGGTCTTCTAGTCCAACCCCCTGCTCGAGCAGGAGATCCTAAACCATTTCAAAAAGGTGACTATCCAGTCTCTTCTTGAAAGCCTCCAGTGATGGAACACCCACAACTTCTGAAGTCAACCCATTCCACTGGTTAATTGTTCTCACTGTCAGGAAATTTCTCCTTAGTTCTAGGTTGCTTCTCTCCTTGCTTAGTTTCCACTCATTGCTTCGAGGTTCCGATAGATGAGACCACAAGAAAATAATTACTCTAAGGCATTTGCATTCCTCACAGAATACTTTTGATGGCTACATAGTATGGGCACGGTCAAAGGTGGAACCAAGACTGAAGGTTCCCTCCCCCCAAGGTTACAAAGGAACAAGTTGACCTTCCCACTCCTGTTGTTGTTGTTAGTTGCGAAGTCGTGCCCGACCCATAGCGACCCCATGGACAACATTCCTCCAGACCTTCCTGTCTTCTACCACAAGGGTGTCAAACTCAATTTCATTGAGGGCCGCATCAGCATTGCGGTTGCCCTCTGGGGGGCGGGGGGTATGGCCTGGGTGGGTGCGGCCTACTGGGTGGGCATGGATAGAGTGGGTATGGCCTACTGGGTGGGCGTGGTTTCGGCAGGCAGCGGGGCGCTCTCATAGCGCCGAGAGGTTGAGCCGGGCAGTACAAAGCTTCCCAACTTTGCACCTTGCTGCCTGCTGAAACTGGGCAGGCTGGGGGCTAGGCAGCATTGCACTTCTCATCAGATTCGCGCCACCCAGCTCAGCTCTTGGCGCTGTGAGGAGAGTGCCCCGCTGTCTGCTGAAACCGGGCAGGCTGAGAGCTGGTAGGCCTCACGTTTCTTTTTGGATTTGCGCCGTCCGGCTCAGCCTCTCGGTGCTGTGAGGAGAGCGCCCCACTGCCTGCCGAAATCCCTCCCCCAGAACCCATCAAACCAGATAGGTGAAGTAGGTGAGGGCCATTTGCTGGCCACTTCCAGGTGATGGTGCATTTCTTCATTCCTCACAAAGGGTGACACCTCCCCAGCATGCACCCTGGGGGTGGGGCCGACGCGGCAGGGACTGGTTCTTTGCTGTTTCTAGACGGCCTTGTGGAGCTAAGACTGAATGCGTTTCAGCATAGATGGCCACCATAAAACTTTACGTTGGCTCCCAGCCGGCCTGGGCCAGGGCCAAGGCAGCAGGGGCCATTCCCTCACTGTTTCCAGGATGGCTTCATGGGCCACATGAAACCACTTCGCGGGCTGCATCCGGCCCCCGGGCCTTGTGTTTGACCTGTCTGCTCTACCATCTTCTGGAATCCATTTAAGCTCACACTTACTGCTTCAGTGACTCCATCCAGCCACCTCATTCTCTGTCGTCCCCTTCTTCTCTTGCCCTCCATCTTCTTCTTCTCTTGCCCACTCCTATAATATGTCACAAATCACAATACCCAATTATCTACTTTGGCAGGCTTTCTAACGGAAACTCCAGCCCGCCCAAACTTAGGTAGCTTGACCTTGGTTCCCACAAGAAAGTATTTGTTATGACCAAGCTAAAAGAACACATCTCCCTCCTCCCATCGCCGTGGCAACCGAAAAACGAGCCGAAGATGGCTGTGGCCAGGATTGTTTGAAGGTTTGACCCTTGTCTTGCCTTCAGGTGCTTTGCAAATAGGTTGTCCTTTTCTTCTTTGTGACAGCCTCCCAAATGTTGGAACGCTGCTATCACATCATCCCTAGTCCTTCTTTTATTTTATATATCATTGGTAAAGGCCTTATTTTACATTTTTACACCTCTTCATTCAACCCCCTCCCAAATCATATTGCAGACCTTTCTGATATGGAGTTTCTGGATGACTCTTCTACCGAGAGCTTGCTGTTGAGTGGCGATGAATATAATCAGGATTTTGATTCGACCAACTTTGAAGAGTCCCAGGACGAAGAGGACGCTTTGAACGAAATAGTCAGGTGTATCTGCGAAATGGATGAGGAAAATGGCTTCATGATTCAGGTAAGAACTCTGTGGTGGTTTGCTGTCAAATTTTGGTTGCAGTTTTCACCCAGTTACTCCACGTCACTAGGCAAGAGTAATTTATCCTGTCGTGGTTTATAGCAGGGCTTTTAAACCAGTGGTACGGGTACCACCTGTGGTACATTGGCACCTGGCAGGTGGTACGCGACCATCCTAGAAAAGTGGTAGCGGGGGAGGGGAATGAGCTGAACCGGTGGCAGCACTGCAGAAGCCTGAGCGAGAGATGGCTGGAGATGCAGGGCTGTCAGGGCTCAGCAGAAGCACCAGGATCAGCGACAGGCTCCAGTTGGAGCTCAGCACTGATCCTGGCACTTCTGCTGAGCCCAGAAGAAGAGCCGATCAGCTGGAATGTTGCAGCATCTCCAGGGTCTTGTGATTTACATTCAGATGCTTGGCAACCGATTCATATTTATGACGGTCACAGTGTCCCAGGGTCATGTGAAGTGACCAAAACCTGCTGCAACCACCCAGCAGACGGGGGAATAAAAACCAAACACCCCCCACCCCCGCTGCCAATCATCAACAGAAATGCTCACAACAGTGAAAACCTCAGACAGGAGGAAGAGAGCCGCCAGGTGGGCAGGCAGGTGTCTTGCTCGGCTGTGGCTTGGGGGGCACTTTTTTCAATGCCATTGTAACTTTGAACAGTCACTAAGCGAACTGTTGTAAGTCGAGGACTACTTGTACTTCATCGCTTTTTTCCTTTTGGTGGGGGTCATCAAGTTTTTGACACCTTGCTAGGCGACTGGTGGTACTCGGATGTTGCCATATCCTAAAAGTGGTACAATGGGTGAAAAGGTTGAAAAGCCCTGGTTTATAGGATGAATTCTAGGCTGGATTGATCCAGCAGATTTCTCCCAAGTTGCATTCTTAAGAAGTCTGTCTCCATTAGAGTGATTTCCCAGATGTTATTGCTAAAACAGTCATGGTTCAGACTGTGACAGCAAAAATATTACGAATGAATTTGTTTGCTTGTTACTGCTATGGTAGGGAAGCCAAATCTTTTCGTCTATACACGTAATAAGTGTTATAAAAATATGAGGTAGTTCAGCATTCCCCAGCCTTTCCAGGTTGGTGGACTGGCAAAAGGGGGTGGGATGGGGGAAAGAGGGGAGGGTTTTGTGTGAGAGGCAGGTGTGCATGCACGCAGCTTCATTTGTGTGAGCGGCGGGCTCGCGTGAGTTGGGCTGTGAGTGCCGGCTCCCGTTGTTCGTGTGAGTCAGGCCCGCCGTTCATGCTGCCCGGTTGCTATTAGGCCACAACCCGGTAGTGGGCTGTGGCCTACAGTTGGGGACCCCTAAGATAGTTGATCAGCACTTTGCCCAGGTAGCCGTATCTTTGAACTGTTGATAAATGAATGGTCATAAGTTGTGGAGTATCTGTACTAAAAGAACACTTGACAGTAAGAACCACAATTTGAATGTACGCGACAGAGTTAAAACCTGATGGATGTTTGATTATGCCTTTCATCTCCTGCATTCACTTCGCTGCTTGTTTTTAATCAATCCCACAGTGTGAAGAGTGCCTGTGTTGGCAACACAGCACGTGTATGGGATTGTTGGAAGACAGCATTCCAGAGCAATATACCTGCTACATTTGCAGGGATCCACCTGGTAAGAACACGTTTTCAAGTCCTTTTCAAACTCATTTCCAAGCTTTGCATTTCATGTTAATATTAGTATAAAGATCAGTGTCTACTCCTGTAATGTACCTAGGGCAGTGGTGGCGAACCTATGGCACGCGTGGCAGAGGCGGCACTCGAAGCCCTCTCTGTGGGCACGCGCGCCATGCCCCGGAGATGGCAACCGTCCTCTTCAACCAGCCGCCCGCTAACTTGCCGAGGTTCCACGTGGCCAGATGCATCCCAGCACCCATGCGCTTGCTGGCCTTTCTGTGCAGGGGGTGATGGTGTCAGGCAGCAGCCGTCCCGGTCCCTGCCTCGCCTTGCCCTGCGACATGGCACCCCCGCCCTGCCTCACCTCACCCCGCAGAACCAGCCTCCTGCCCATCGCCCCACCCACCAGAGACCCCTGGATCTCCCCCAACCCTGCCCGGCCCCCACAGGCATCCCTCCCCAGGAGCAACATCGAGCTGGCCGTGCCCATCCTGGCCATGCCCACCCATCTGCCATGACCACTGTAGCCACGCCTACTTGGCGGCCACGCCCACCCGGCAATATATAAGTGGGTTTTGGGTTGAGGTTTGGGCACTCGGTCTCTAAAAGGTTCTCCATCACTGATCTAGGGTGTACTTAGACCAGGGGTCTCCAACCATGCCCACTTTACGATTTGTGGACTTCTGCTCCCAGAATTCCTCAGCCAGCCATGCTGGCTGAGGAATTCTGGGAGTTGAAGTCCACAAGTCATAAAAGGGCCAAGGTTGGGGACCTCCGACTTAGACAGTTAGGCCTTCTATTATTGTTTTCCCGGGTGTACCCACAAAATAGTTCGGCAACTCACGTGCAACCTTTCCCTAAAAAACCAGCCTAATAAAACCTCTATTTACTGTATCCTCCTGCCAGGTGCCAGTAAGATAGTGTTTGTACTCTTGGGGTATTTATAATTCGCAATGTAATTTAGAGATTAGTCAAAAGTTTTAAATTGTAACTATGCCACTGGAACGGAATAAGTGTGCAGTAGTAAAGCCCCTCCTCTTCTCTTAGCTTGACTTTAATTTCTCGTACCGTCTGGAGTCCTAGATAGAAAAATATTTGACTTTTAAAAATGCGGCGGCCTCATCTGAAGTCATCAGAAGCAACGGTCTCTATAGCCATACAATATTGTTAAAGGGGCGCCACTGAGCGATAATAAATACATGCTGGTTGCCCAAACACAGATCACGTGACAGTAGGGATGCTGCCACGGTCATAAGTGTGAGAACTGGTCATAAGTCACTTTTTGCAGCGCTGTCGTAATTTGCGACGGTCATTAAATGAATGGCTGTAAGTGGCAGATTACTTGTCTCTGTTTTTGAAAGGGAACAGATTTCTCAAGCTTTTCAAAAATTGGTACATGTTTTGTATAGTGTGTACGTATGTTTTACGTTGTACATGTAGAACAGTGCACTCTTTTGTCCAAAATTTGTGATTATAATTTTTTGAATATTTTTCTTGGGTTCTTTGTGCTACTCTGCTGTGACCTGTCTTTGTATTTAGGGAACTCCTCTGGGTTTTAAACATTGAATGAGTGTATCAGGAATGTGTGAATGGACTTATGGGTATTTTAAATCCTGATAAGCAGAGAATTTTCAATTGTTTTAACAGCTTTTAACAGTTTGTTAAATAAATGCTTACTTCCCACTTGTACATTTTTCCTACTGGAATGTGATCTCTTTGGACCATAATCGGTCTAGGATAATTTTCTGGGAATTTTGGTAATATAATAAAAATCTCAACTCTCGTGTTTTGTCTAGGTCAGAGATGGAGTGCCAAATATCTCTGTGACAAAGACTGGTTGAATAATGGCCACATGTGTGGCTTGTCATTCTTAAAAGAGAATTATTCTCATTTAAATGCCAAAAAGATTGTGTCAACGCATCGCCTTCTGGCCGATGTCTATGGTGTTACAGAAATATTACATGGACTACAGCTGAAGATTGGAATACTAAAGTAAGCGTATCATGTAGTTCTGTCATTTCTATGCCTGCCTGCCTGCCCGCCCGCCCGCCCGCCCGCCCGTCCATCCGTCCATCCATCCGTCCATCCATATCTAGATATGTCTGTCTGTCTGTCTGTCTGTCTCTCTGTCTCTCTCTCTCTCTCTCTCTCTCTCTCTCTCTCTCTCTATCTATCTTAGCTAGCTAGCTAGCTAGCTAGCTAGTTATCCCATCTATATCTAGCTATCTATCATCTGTCCATCCATCCATCCACTGCAGTTGTTACCATTCAGTCATTAAGTGAATTGTCATTAAATGAATACCACGGTCCTTAAGTGAACACTGTGATCATTAAGCGAATTCATTGACTGCAGTGGACATATTTTTGCTGGAAACTGGAAGTAAATATTGGTTTCCGACAAAAAAAACATCGTAAATCACAGTCATGTGACCACAGGAGGCTGCAAATGGCCATAAATGTGAGCCTATTGCCAAGTACCAAAATATGACCAGGGGAAATGGTGTCCATTGGAGCTTTGAATCATGATTATAAATAGCCCCTGGGATGTCCATTATACCTTTGAATGGTCACTAAGTGGCCAGTTGTAAGTCGAGGATTACTTGTATATTGATATTACAGAGGATTGCCCTCCCAATCAATTATTTCTATTAATGACATAAACTGCTCGTTTTGAACAGTACATGGACATTTTAAATCAGTGTTTCTCAATCTTGGTGGCTTTAAGATGTGTGGACTTCAACTCCCAGAATTCTCCAGCCAGCCTGGAGAATAAAAGTTGCCAAAGTTGAGAAATGCTGCTTCAGGTGTTTCATCAGGGAAAACCACTCATTGTAATCAACATTTCATTTTTTTAAACTGAAATCTTAGGCATATTTTTTGGCTTCTTATCTATTCAGACAGTGCTTCTGTGACTTGGTGCCTTTATTAGTTTCACCCGCATTAATCTTTTTTTTTTTTTTTTTAACCCCAGAAATAAGCATCACCCTGATCTTCATCTCTGGGCTTGCACCGGTGTGCGGAAGGATCACGACCAAATCACTGTTGGAATAGAAAGAAGGGTCCTAAGTGTGCCCGAAGCCGTTAATCCCTCGGGAAGGACGTGTCATAGTCAAAACCATAAAGAGCCGCCTCGCTTAGCTCCAAAGATAGAAGAAACGTACATCAGAAGCGAACACAGTTATCAGAAACAGAGTTTTGGTCAGGATTGCAGAGCCGTTGTTGACCCCACCAGCAGCTCAGAGGACGACGACACCAGCAGTTTTGAACAGCACTCGGAGCGTCTCTTAGAAGAGAAAAACTGTTTACAGCGTTCATCCACAGAAGATGGTTTGGGCCATCAGGTAAATCAACCGCTTCATCCGTAGCACCTTTTAGAATTATGAAGACAAAAATGAGAGTCTTCCAACCCAGGGGGAACCCAATAGAAGTCCCATTCACGTCGTGTGTGCCGTGGCATTATCATGCAAATGAAGTGCATTATGGGATTTGTGTCATTTACCGTGTTTCCCCCAAAATAAGACCCGGTCTTACGGGTTTTGGGGGGCTTTTTGCCTCCAGAAGAGGCACCAGGTCTTATTTTCGGGGGCTGTCTTTTTTTTTTTTATAACAAGTTTTATTAAATTTTTCAATTTTTACATCCAAGTAATTAGGAAACATCGTGGTGATAGAGTAGTCAATAGTCCAATAACAGAGTCATTCATATAAGTAATAATAATAATAATAATAATAATAATAATAATAATAATAATAATAATAATAATAATAATAATAATAATAATAATAATAATAATAAAGTTGGAAGGGACCTTGGAGGTCTTCTAGTCCAACCCCCTGCTCAGGCAGGGAACCCTATACCGTTTCGGACAAATGGCTGCCCAGTCTCTTCTTAAAAACTTCCAGTGTTGGAGCATTCAACCGCTTCTGGAGGCAGGTTGTTCCACTGGTTAATTGTTCTAACTGTCAGGAAGTTTCTCCTTAGTTCTAAGTTGAGGTTACATCATTAAAGGTTCCCTCTCTATTTCCCTTAATTATTATATCATATTCAATTTAATACATTTCTTAGTAGCGCTCAATCAATCAATGCATTTATCAACACAATTTTAGTTATACATATCCAAGTCCTGTTTTTCAGTTTTACTTAGTTCCAATTAGCATGTTCCAATTTAGCCTTTAATAACCATAATGTTTAAACTTCGGGTAACCCTCATTTCATTACAAGATAATTATCACAGCTAGAGTACACATATTGTTCCAAAATTTAGGTTCTTGCCTTATTTCACTGATAACATTCTATTTCTCATCCTAATAGCTCCTCGTTTACTAATGAAATATCTTTCATTGTCACAAACCCATTTCCGTAGAACAGTTCAAAAGTATAATCTAACAATTAATTTTCATTTCCATTATAAATCTAAATACTAAATATTAAATCAATATCTCTAAAAATCTCCTTTTCCACTCACCTCGCAGTGGCAGCACCGACAGCCCTGCCTGGCTGACCCACTTCTTCTGCGGCCAATGGAGCAGCTTCATTCTGCAGCGGAGAATGGATCTCCGGCCTGCCTTTTGCCATCAGAGGCCTTCTGGAAAGGCATCTGCATCCAAGAACTGAGCTAAGGATTAAATCCATAGCTCGGTTCTCGGCTGCAGAGGCCTTCCGGAAAGGCCTCTGACGGCAAAAGGCAGGCTGGGGGGATGCCGCAGAAGAAGTGGGCCGGTGAGGAGAGGCAGGTGTCAATTCATGGAAAGCCTGGTAAGTGGGTGCGGGGCGCGTGGGGCAGCTCCAGCCCTCCACCCTTGCCCTAGCTTGATTTTTAGGCGTGCGCCTTGCCCCAAAACTAGGGCTTATTTTTGGGGTAGGGCTTATATTAGGCCCATCCCCTATGATAGTGATGGCGAACCTTTTAGAGACCGAGTGCCCCAAAATTGGCCTTGCCCCTGCTCCACCCCCTGTCCCGCCCCTGCTCCGCCCCCCACCCTGCCTGCCCGCAGGGCCACTCATCGCCTCCAGGGCCTGCCGCAGATCGCCCAGCAGCACCATGGCAGCCATGCCCTCTGCCTGCGCCCTGCAGCATCAACTGTGCACGATGGGGCGTGAGGGCAGAATCTTGTCTACGCTGCCTGGCTGCCGTGTCCTTAACTGCACTGCTCTGCGTGAGCCACGCTCAGGGGCGACCCTTCTCCAGGAGGGCTGCTGGTGAGGTGGGTGTCATGCGGGGAGGTGAGGTGGGGCAACGGCATGTGTGCCCACAGAGAGGGCTCCAAGTGCCGCCTCTGGCACCCATGCTATAGGTTCGCCACCACTGCCCTGTGATCAACCTAGGGCTTATTTTCGGGGTAGGTCTTACTTTTGGGGAAACACGGTAGGTGATAATTCCATGACAAAAACATTGCTCCCCATGTTCCCCTTGCCTTCACCACTTAAATATCAACAAACATGTTCATGCATCTGACAAACGGAACTTGAATCTATGTAAGTTTATAAAATTATAAATTAATATTTTCTGAGAGGCCGTCAGCGCTCTCCGTTTAGTTGTTTTCTCGCAGACGTTTCATAACCCAAATTAAGTAATATCACTGGTGCTATTTTGTTTTTTAAGAAGCATCATCAGTGCTATTTCTCCCCCCCCAATTTTTTTTTGTTTGCTTTTTCTGTAACACACTAGTTGAGTGAAATATGCTGATAGACAAAAAGAGCTTAGAAAGAAGAACTGAAATGATGCTTCCCGTTGTTCACCAAGGATGCAATCAGAAATCAGAAATGTTATTGTATGCAGTGATGGCGAACCTTTTAGAGACCGAGTGCCCAAACTGCAACCCAAAACTCACTTATGCATCGTTGTATGCCGAGTGGGTGTGGCCCATTGGGTGGGCATGGCCCATTGGGTCGGCGTGGCCCATTGGGTGGGTGTGGCCCATTGGGTGGGCGTGGCCGCGATGGTAACGGCAGACTGGGTGGGACTAAAAAGTTCAATCAATCAATTCCAACTTTGCAAGATCTTTTTTTTCCCTGCAAGAAGTTGAAATTGACTGATTGAACCTTTTTTTTTTTTTGCATACGGCGGCGGCGGCCTAAAGCGAAAAGGTTTTATAAAACCCAGCTGAAGGCCTAGGACTGGGGCGACGCCACGCGTGCCCACAGAGAGGGCTCTGAGTGCCGCCTCTGGCACCCGTGCCATAGGTTCGCCACCACTGGTATAGAGAAATCAATGTAGATAAATAAGAGAAATCGCTTCCTTAATTTTGGAAGCATTTATGAACAAGGTTAGAAATTTCTCATCTTGAAAGATTGGAAGAAGAGTTTAATGGGTGGTTCTGGTTTGTCCTCAGGGGAACAACTATCCAGGAAAAGAGATTGTCACTGCGTGGGCAAAAGGAATAGACCAAATAGGGAAGCCAGCCTGTAAGGTGGTCCTTGACCATTCTTTTAGTGACCATTTGAAGTTACAATGACAATGAAAGCAGTGATTTATGATGGTTTTTCACACTTATCATCTTTGCAGCATACCCACCATCATGTGATCAAAACTCGGACGTTTGGCCGGTATTTATGGGGTCATGTGATCACCTTTTGTGACTTTCCAAGAAACAAAGTCTACACGGAAGCCAGATTCAATTAACAACCATGTTGCTAACTTAACAACTGCAGTGATTCACTTAACAGTCGTAGCAAGAAAAGTCATACAATGGAGCATATTTCACTTACCAACTATTTAGGCTTTCTTGCTTCTCAATCCTTATCCAAATGGGAGCAGCTTCTGCTGTGGAATTGGTACAAAAAGGTTTTCTTCTGTTCATGAATCTGGCCTTGGGATGGGAAGAGAGAGAAAGAATCAAAGAGTGATTGGTGATACTTCTACATGTGATTGGGCATTACAGAATTTAGTGGAAAGTTTTTGAGCATCGCTGTGCCTTTTGGCCATCAAGTTTTATATAACCAGAAGGTTGAGAGGGACTAGTTCATGAACCTTGACAATCAGACTGCTCCCATTGTGTTGTTTCCACATGGTTGGAGAGCTGAATTAGCAAAACCTTGGGTGGATTTCTTATTTCTGTCACTGATCACTGGTATGTGAAGAACCACTATGGTCAGCCAGAAATTCCTGCACTAATATTTCTGAATAGCAGGAACTGCGCAAAAACCCTCTTGTTCTTCTGTGGTGGTGAAGTGATTTTTGCCTCATTTTATGACCTTTTACTGCCATGGTTGTGAAGTGAATCGCTACAGTTGTTAAGTTAGTAACCCGGTTGTTAAATGAATCTGGCTTCCCCATTGGCTTTGCTTGTTAGAAGGCCCCCAAAATGTCCCAAAGTTTCTTTTTCCAGAAGGCAACTGGAACAATAATAATAATAATAATAATAATAATAATAATAATAATAATAATAATAATAATAATAATAATAATAATAATAATAATAATAATAATAAAGTTGGAAGGGACCTTGGAGGTCATCTAGTCCAACCCCCTGCTCAGGCAGGAAACCCTATACCAGTGGTGGCGAACCTATGGCACACGTGCCAGAGGCGGCACTCAGAGCCCTCTCTGTTGGCACGCATGCCACCGCCGCCAGCAGCAGGTCCATCAGGCTGCCACTGCTGCTCGGAGCAGGAGCCCCGACCAGCACAAAGGAGGCAAAGTGGCCGACCAGCAAGCGCGAGTAGAGGTGATAGAGTAGAGGTCACCAACCATTGTCGATTGGTGGACTGGAAGAAAAGGGAGGGAGAAGCATTTTACATGCGTGCATGCGCGCACGGGGCCGCGAGCACGCACACGCTGCAAATGGGGCGGGGCTAGTGCCTGCGTGATACTCAGTAGCCCTGCCCCGTTTTTGCGTGGTGGAGAACCTTGTATCTGCACCCCGCGGTGCGGTGGCGGCCGTTTTTGTGCCTTGCAGCACGGTGGCCCATTTTTGCGCCCCCGGTTTTTGCGTGCCAGAGGCAGCACTCGGAGGCACCTCCCTGCCCCCCCCCCACAAGGGCAGCACAATGCTGATGCGGCCCTGGCACTTTGCGATAAATAAGTGGGTTTTGGCACTCGGTCTCTAAAAAGTTCGCCATCACTGCCCTATACCATTTCAGATAAATGGCTGTCCAGTCTCTTTTTAAAAACTTCCAGTGTTTCTTGGTTCTTTTTTTTTCTCCTTGAAAACATTTCACTTCTCATCCAAGAGGTTTATAACTGAAGAAGCTTCTTGGATGAGAAGCCAAATGTTTTGAAAGGGAAAAAACCCCCCAAGAAAGTCCAGTTGCCTTTTGGAAAAAGCAACTTTGGGACAACCATGACTTGGATGACTAGAATTTCCATCGTCGCAAAAGGTGATCATGTGACCCTGGGACACTGAAACCATCGTAAGTACATGCCAGTTGCCAAGTGTCCTCATTTTGATCACATGGCCACGGGAATGCTGCAACACTCATAATAAGGGTGATAAACGGTCCTAAGTTACTTTTTTTCAGTGCCATTGTAACTTCAAACGTTCACTGAACACAGTGGTTGTGAGTTGAGAACTTCCTGCAACCTGCTTTAACTGATTCTCTTTGCCGTGGAGGAATTGCCTTAGTTGACCCCCGTTTCTGCTGAGTCACTCAGAAGCAGCAGATCTATTTCATCTCCCTGAAAAGGCCACTTGAGGGTCGCCGATGTTGCATAACTGTTTTGATAACCTGATTCTCTTTTGCGGTAACTGCACAGAAGCATTCAGCCGAAGGGAACACCGTGTTCGTATTCAACGAAAGAAAAGGAAACGAGGAGCACGTGGACACTCGTCTTCAGTGGCAGCTAAACCTCCTCACCCACATAGAAAATGTGCAGAATGAAGTCACTAGTAGAATGGACCTGATTGAAAAGGAAGTCGATGGTAACTATTTTAAGGCCGAGCTTAACGCTGACATTCTCTCTTTCCCAAACTCTTTTATTTGGGTATACCGAACAGGTATAAAATGTGCTGGACAAAATAAATTTGGGGGTTTTAGCACGAGACCCAAAGACGTAGACGTGCCCGTGTGTGCTTGGTCTGGGGTTTGCCAAGTTCTTTATCCCATCTGGCTTTTTACATTAAAACAAGTCTAGATATAAAATTTCTCCTGTCTAAAACAATTTTTTTTATTTTACTCAGTTGATTTTTATCCCATCTTTATTGCTTTTTATAAGTAACTCAAGCAGCGAACATATCCAACACACCTTCCCTTCTCCTATTTCCCCCCCCAAACAACAATCTTGTGAGGTGGGTTGGGTTCTGAGAAAATGACTAGCCCAAAGTCATCCATCTGGCTTTCATGCCTAAGGCAGCGCTAGCACTCACAGTCTCCTAGTGATTGGCCCAAGGTTACCCATCCAGCCTTCATGCCTAAGGCAGGACAAGAACTCACTGTCTCTGGTGATTGGCCTAAAGTCACCCATTCAGCCTTCATGCCTAAGGCAGGACTAGAACTCAGTCACCCTGTGATTGCCCCAATGTCACCCAGTTGACTTTCATACTCATAGTTTCCTGGTTTCTAGGCCAGCACCTTCACCACTACACCAAACTGGCATACAAAATGGATGCCGCTGGAATGCCACACAACAAAGCACTTGAATTACCTTTGTTCCTAGGAAGGTCTCTAGAGCCCAGAAGATAAAAACAATAGCCTGTTCTAATTCAATTCTTAGCTTGGAAGTGTGCAAAAAATAGAGAGTCATCTTGGATGAGAGAGGAGGCTAGAGAAAGAGCTGTGGTGTCCCTGATAGCAGCTATTTTGTGCGCGGCAAACTACCCCATCAGCCATTTTGTGAGTGCACCCAGAGAATGTGCTTACCAGAGGTACCCGGCATCCATTTTGCCAAGAATACTATAGGATATTCTACTGCCCCTGTCTTCACATTGGGTTTGTGCTCCGTGACCAGTACAGAAGTTGATTGCCTGACATGGCTGATTTGCCTCTTTCGTTTGCTGGAAACAAAAAACTACACTTATAATAATAATAATAATAATACTAGTAAAGTTGGAAGGGACCTTGAAGGTCATCTAGTCCAACCCCCTGCTCAGGCAGGAAACCCTATACCATTTCGGACAAATGGCTGTCCAGTCTCTTCTTAAAAACTTCCAGTGTTGGAGCATTCACCGCTTCTGGAGGCAGGTTGTTCCACTGGTTAATTGTTCTAACTGTCAGGAAGTTTCTCCTTAGTTCTAGGTTGCTTCTCTCTTTGGTTAGTTTCCATCCGTTGCTTCTTGTCCTGCCTTCAGGCGCTTTGGAGAATAGCTTGACTCCCTCTTCTTTGTGGCATATTGGAAGAATGTTATCATGTCACCCCTAGTCCTTCTTCTCATTAAACTAGACTTACCCTACAAGCCATGTGTCTTTTCACTGCTCTTCTGAACCACAAATTCAGGTTCTGGTTCAAAAAAGTCAAAAATGGCCATGGTGAAGTTGTGTGTGATCAAAGCCCTTTCCTTTTTCGTGTGTGCAACACTATTTTGACTCTTTTTTTTTTTTACTATCCCCCAGGGGTTATGCCTGTTCAAATGGAATCTCTATTTTCCACCCAGCCTAGAGATGTCAATTCAATTTTCAATTCAGCAACACTTGAACATAAATCCTTGGTTTCTTCAAAAAACTTACTGCCTTAACTGATTTGGAATATTTCTTTTTCTGCTAGATTGTTCTGGATGATGGGGTGGGGTGGGTGAAGGGGTAGGACAGTATTTCTCAACCTTAGCAACTTTTAAGAGGTGTGGACTTCAGTTCCCAGAATTCTGATTGAAGTCCAGTTATCTTAAAAAAAAAAAAAAACTGTGTGGCCCACTTACCTTAAAAAAAAAAAAAAAAAACTGCGTGCATTTCAATTCCAGGAATTCCCCAGTCAGCATAACCTGGAATTGAAGTCCACACCAGTTTTTTAAGATAAGTGGGCCACACAAGTTGGTTTGTTTTCTTTTTTGAAGATAAGTAGACTTCAACTCCCAGAATTCTGGGAGTTCAAGTCCACTTATCTTAAAATTGCTAAGGTTGAGAAACATTGGCGTACAATGAATTCCTGAGCCAGCATGCCTCAGCTTGGAAATCTCTCCCTTTCCCCTCAGCACAGCTGGCTCAGGAATTCTGTGAGTTGAAGTCCACAAGTCATAAAAGAGCCAAAGCTACCTACCCCTGGTCTATACCAGGGGCCTTCAAAGTTGGCCCTTTTACGACTTGTGGACTTCAACTCACAGATTGGCACGCTGGCTGAGGAATTCTAGGAGTTGAAGTCCACCTGGTCTGTACAAAGGGGTGATGCCACATGGCTACCCTCCTCTATCATGTTTTGAACAGAGGATTACAGGTAGTCCTCAACTTACAACCATCCGTTTAGTGACTGTTCAAAGTGACAACAGCACTGAAAAAAAAATGTAATTTAACAACCAGTCCTCACACTTACCAACTGTCATAGCATCCCGGCAGTCACACCATCAGAATTTGGTCTTTTGGCAACCAGCAAGTGTTCACAATGGTCTCGTATGATTTTGCCATTTACGATCTTTCCAGCCAGCTTCTGACAAGCAAAGTACCAATGGAGGGAGCTGGATGGACTTAACAACCGCCCGACTTAACAACTGTAGTGATTTTGCTTAACAGTTAACGGCACAAGAGGTTCTAAAATGGAGCATGACTATCCGAACAACTGCCTTACTTAATAACAGAAACTTGACCCTCGGTTGAGGACTACCCTGAACCAACCTAGAACTCGGGAGAAATTTCCTGACAGTGAGAACAATTAATTGATGGAACGACTTGCGTCCAGAAATTGTGGGTGCTCCAACACTGGAGGTTTTCAAGAAGAGATTGGATTTGTCTGAAATGGTACAGGTAGCCCTTGACTTATAACAGTTCATTTAGTGATCGTTCGAAGTTACACCGACACGGAAAAAAAGGGAGTTATGACCATTTTTTCACACTTACATCCCCACGGTCACGTGATTTCCATCCAAGTACTTGACAAGCGGTTCCTATTTATGATATTGGCAGTGTGCCGGGGTCACGTGATCTCCTTTTGCGACCTTCTGACAAGCAGTGTGAGTGGGGAAGTCAGATTCACTTAACGGCTGTGTCGCTAACTTAACAACTGCAGTGATTCGCTTAGCAAACGTGGCAAGAAAAGTGATACATTGAGGCAAAACTCGCTTCACAAATTTCTCACTTAGCAACATAAATTTCAGGATCAATTGTGGTCGTAAGTCAAGGACTGAACTGCTTAGGATCTCCTGCCTGAGCGGGGGATTGGACTAGAAGGCTTCCATGGTCCCTTCCAATTCTGTTATTTTGTTATTCTGTATTGATTATTCTAAATAAATAATAATAATAATAATAATAATAATAATAATAATAATAATAATAATAATAATAATAATAATAATAATAATAATAATATAAAGTTGGAAGGGATCTTGGAGGTCATCTAGTCCAACCCCCTGCTCAGGCAGGAAACCCTATACCATTTCGGACAAAAGCCTGTCCGGTCTCTTCTTAAAAACTTCTAGTGTTGGAGCATTCAACCGCTTCTGGAGGCAGGTTGTTCCACTGGTTAATTGTTCTCACTGTCAGGAAGTTTCTCCTTAGTTCTAGGTTGCTTCTCTCCTTGATTAGTTTCCATCCGTTGCTTCTTGTCCCGCTTTCAGGTGCTTTGGAGAATAGCTTGACTCCCTCTTCTTTGTGGCAGCCCCTGAGATACTGGAACACTGCTATCCTGTCCCCCCCTCGTCCTTCTCTTCGTTAAACTAGACATACCCAATTCCAGCAACCGTTCCTTATATGCTTTAGCCTCCAGTATCACCGTGCATAATAGGCTTTTCATCTCTCTCTTTTTTTTGTTTTGTCCCTGTACAGTTTTAGAAAGCTGGCTGGATTTCACCGGAGAGTTGGAGCCCCCCGACCCCCTCGCCCGTCTGCCTCAACTCAAGCGCCGGATTAAACAGCTCATCTCTGACATGGGCAAAGTCCAACAAATTGCCACCCTCTGCTCCGTATGACGAAAGGAAAGATGAAGGAATGCACGCAGGCAGTCAGGCTCCGACGATGGGTTTCTTCTGATTCACCAGGTTCACATAAAAGAGTACTTTTTTTAAAAAAAAAA